GTTGCAACGTGCTCTTCCAAATCGTTGATGTGCAGTGTCATTTTTTCCATCTCCTTTTTCAAGGTATCGATAGTGCATCGTAGCTCTCTTTTCGATGGCTTCTTCTTTGCAGCTGCTTGTTCGCTTGGTTTGAGGGCGCGAATGGAAGTCAAGCTCAAGGTTCTTTCTTCTCGAATATCATCATCAATGGCCACTCGACACTTGCATGTACCTGCTTTACCCTTGTAGTCACCGTAGACATGTTCTTTGTAGCGACCAGCAATAATCTTAATGCGTTGTTGAACTTTGAAGTCTGCCATTGCCTCAACACGGTAACACAACTGCCTTGTAAGTCGATAGTCAGTTTCAATAGTCAATTTAAAGTAGCGAACCTCTACTGTAAAAAAATGAGCTAGCCAGATGTTCGTATGTCAGCGATAGGGGTGCGTCAGCGATGGATCTTTCGCGATTTGTTCCGGCGAGTTCCGGCGAGGCCTAAAAAAGCGAAGGCCATTTCCCAACACAGCAACCGGGACTGTATGCAGTTTTGATTCTGCGAGTTCCAATTCTGGCCAACTCTGCACCATTCTCAAAATCTCATTGAGAACACTCCGCGCCATTACATTCACGTAGGTTTTGTACTGCGCGTAACGTGCCAGGACCAGTAATAGACCGTAGACAAAACGATCCTCTCAGCCAAATTCCATGTTTGGCAGCAGTAGAATCAATACGGACTCATGACTCCTTTTGAATCCCAAGGATCTGCCACAAACTTTTTAATGAATAATTACTTGTAGCAGAGCCCCAACCTTTCAATTTCCAGTATTTGGTTGTGGGTTGAGTCACGAATGAATGGATGACTCTTGAGATCTATCTCCACCACGTGCACCGCACCCCGTCCCGCCGGTTTGATCATTCTTATGGAAGCCACTTACTCCGTCACCAAAGCTCGAGCACACGACCCGCGTGCATATCCGCAGCTGGAAGGTGATGCAAACAGTGCAGAAGTCTGTGCCTTGCTGTTGATCCAGGCAGGAGCCCAGTAAAGAGTTGTTACTAAAAGTCTGTTATTAACAATTATGAGCTGGAAACTAGCTACTTGTCCCAGCCTGGGGCAGAGCCTGCAGGCATGGGACTGGCTGGATCTACAGCTACAAACTGCCACTGAAAGCCAGGTGGGCTTCAGTGCAGGCTTGCGTGCATCCTAAGAGTGGGACTGATGTGGGAATGGTGCGCTGGGACTGAGAAGGGTTAGGGGACACAGGGTCACATCAACACACCCTCACACTCATAGGTGTCGCAAGCTAATTGTCGGTGCTTGTTGCCACTTGTGGTGGTTGGAGAGTGCCGCTTGTCTTGCAATAGACATGATCAGCGCGGACTGCTCTGTGATGGGAGGGCGAATGGTGCTTGGTGTAGTAGTCGCCCATGTTGGTGGCGCCTGGGCGCCAGTAGATGGTGAATTGCCCTGCTTCAATTCGGTCTTTGAGCCAGTAGAAGCGCATGTCGATTGCTTTGGATCTCTTCTGTTTGACGGTGCCATTGAGGATTCCTTCGGCACACTTGTTGTCGGTTTGAATTGGTGTGGCGGGTTGGTCATGGCCTAGTTCGAGTAGCGTTTGTCGAATGGGGCAGGCCTCTTGGGCGTTGTTGAATGCAGCGCCGACTTCAGCTTCTGCTGCAGAGCTGAGGACGTTCTTCATTATTTTGGCCACAACATGGACTGCTCCATTCATTGGTGGGTTGTCTGTGGTTCCGTTGCTGAGGAAGTGGTAGCCACCGGCGCGGGAGCGAGCTTTGGGGGCAGAGAGGTAGGAGGCGTCGGAGTGGAGATGTAGGACCATGTCGCTGTTGTGGTAACGTAGGATAGCGTCTGGGTAGGTTGCTGCATAATTCAACAGCATTACTGCGGCTTGCATTGTTTTGTCGGTTCCTTTCGTTTGGACAGCTGCGATGTCTCCCAACGCCATTAACATGGTGTGGTCTACTGCTCGTGCGTAATATAATAGGACGCCGACAACTTCTTGGATGTGTTTTATGCCACTGTCATCGAGTGGTTGGGTTGTATCTTCTGGTTCTGTGTATTGCACGGGTTGTCCATAGTGTGGGACGTTCCATTGGAAAGGTGCATGTTCTGGTCTGGCTAGTGTGGGATGCTTGAATCGCTGGAGGGCCCGTTCAATATAGCCTGGCATGGAGAGGTCCACGGTTCGGTTGGTGTAGTCCCAATCTAATGTAATGCCACAATAGAGGGCTCCACTCCAGTCGGTGGTGATGCGATAGCCTGCTGCCAGTGTATTGATTAAGTGTTCGGCGTTTTCTTTGCCCACATACTTGACTCCAAAGTCATCTACAACGAGTGAGAATGCGATGGGGCGTGTTGCATGTTGGAAGAGTCCGTGTGTGTGCTTGGATTGCGTGTAGTTGTGCTTGATGAGGAACTCTACAAGGGCATCATTGGCGATTCGGCCAGCTTGCGGTAGGCCGTACATGCCACGGTTGATTTCAACGAGGACATACCCATTGTGAATCAGCGGGTGTAGGTTGTACTGTTGCATGATTTCTTCCGGAATGATGTCCACGGGGATACGCATGTATTCAGGCCGTGACATGGGCGTGTTCAAGTAGAAGTCCTTGATGTCGATTGTCATGAATTTGGCGTCATCGGTGGAGATGACGCTGTTGAGCAAGATCTTGACGGTGGATAAGGATGCAGTCTTCGTGCTGACATCGAAGGGGTATTCAACCTTGTCGCCTCCGACTGTGAATCGCACTCGTCTTGTTTCTGCTTTTTGTGGGCGATCATCGCACACCACACGTAGATAGGTTGCTTTGCGGCCAGCTGGTAGGTCGCTGTAGGGGATGAACTTGAACGTGTCTGTTCCAGGTGTACCGGTGGATTTACGTCCTTGTGCCAATCGGCCGATTTCATCACAACACGAGTTTATCCAATGCTTTCCGTCACTGGATGCTCGGAGCACTTTGTAGTCGGATAGGACGTTCGTGTCCGGATTGACTGCTTTGTTGGCGAGCTGTTGTTGTCCGTTCGGATCCATCAGGAAGCGGTCTAGCTGTGCTAGGTGTGCCTGGTGATCGCGACGTGCGATTCGGTTGGCTCGTCGTGTGGTGTCTTTCGGTGGCGTTGGGGCAATGGTGACGCGTTTGCGTGTTGTTTTCGGTTGGTGGCTTGTTTGCTGGTGGTACGTAGATGGTTCTGTTTTCCCCCCCACCCTCAGAACTGGTGCAGGGAGTGCGTCAGTTTGGGTAGTGGTTGTATTCTTACTCGGTGTTTGTTCCGGCTGTAAGTTGTCGTGTAGTCGCTTATCGAATATGTGAGCCAGGTCCAATAACGTTGCAGCCTCGCTGTCTGTCATGGTTTGGCTTCCTGGTTGCGTGTTCGGAAGGTTGAGAGCCTTTGCGATGTCGGTTAGCCCTGCTACTGCCATGTCGATTGGTGTTGGCAGGGGCATTTTGAGGTGTTCTGGGAACCAAGCAAGAGTGTCGGCTTTGCGTTCCTTTTGTGTGTCCCAGATCCACGTTTTGAAGCATCGGTATGCATCCATTTCTGGTCCTATATACCAACCGTCTTTGCCTTTGGGTGCCCATGATGCCCTTTGGTGTGGTTTTTCATGGACAATGACATGTATGCCTGGTGGTGCGATGGGTGTCGCGGAGAAATCGAATTGCCCAAAGACCTGTGCATAGGCTGAGAGTGATGGGTTGATACGGGAGCCTCGAAGGAGGTTTAATGTGATGGTGCATTGTGGGATGAGTTTGTCCCAAAGGTGGAGTGGGAAATTCTTGTCCGTGGAACAGAGGCCGGCAATCAGGTGGTTTTTGTACGTTTGTATTGCACGTTCTGCTGCATTGCGGCGGTGTATGCCGGCTGGTGTTGTTTGTAGGGCGACTCCTTGGCTGTCGATGTGGTCCTTTAAGAGCTGGGAGCATTCGTTGTCGAGTATGTGTAGTTTCGGTCGTAGATTGGCTCGCACTAGGCGGTTGTGGACAGCTGTCCAAGCTTTCAAATGCGACTTGGCTGATCTGTTCGGCATTGGTTCTGCATGTATCGAGTTGCTGTCATAATGGTATAGAATGAACAGGTAGTTGTTGCCGGTGCTGGAAGGAATAAAGAAGCGCCCGGTTTGATCCGAAAAGGATTTTCCTGTCGGTTGGATGACGGCTGCAAAGCAAGATTCCGTGACTGTGTTGGCGTCGTATGGTTGCTGGTGGGGATATGCGTCTGTGTCGTCGACGTGTTCCGGCAGTAGTGGGAGCTTGTCAGGTTCTGTTTTCGTGCTTTGGATGCCTTGTCGCTGTTGGTTGAGGTGTCCTTTCGCAGTTGCGATTGAGTTGGGTACGTGTTTGTTAAAAGTGTCTACTGTTAAACCCGGCATGTTAATGATGTACTTCCGTTTGAGGGCCTCACGGAGTGTGGATGGTACCGGAGAGAATAGAGCTGCATGTGCGAATGCAACGCGTTCTGCAGGTGTTGTTGCTGTTGCCGTTGCCAAGAGGTTGGATTGGTGTTGCATTTGTTTCAGATTGATTTCCCAGAGCGAGTTGGTGCTGGGGTTTCGGTGTCCGGTGAGGATTGTGTCACCCATAAAGGTGATGATGCACTCATGGGAGCGAAAGATTGCCTCGCATCCGGCATCGCATAGTTTGCCGATGGATAAGAGGGAGGTGTTGCCCAATGCTGGGAATAGGTGTGCTAATGTTGCACTTTTTGGAAGATTTGGGAGGTCGAGATGACATGTGTGGGTAGATTCGATAGTGGTGCTATCGGGGAGTGTAACTTTGATTGGTTGTGGGTTTTGTTGTATGTGAATAATGTTTTCATTATTGATGGCGATGAAGTCTGTTGATAAAAAGTGACCTGTGCTGCCGGTGTCTGCTACTATTGGCTTGTTGTTCGGGGGACCGTCGTTTGGTTGTTGATTAACTTTGTTTTCTAGTTTGGTTGGATTATCCACTATTTTGCTAGATAGTTGTGTTTGTTCCAAGGATGGCTCCCGGCCTTTTCAGCGGCCGCCTGTGGTTTGGTCATTTGGAGGAGTGTTCTCATCTCTGGGGGGATTGCGATTGGGGCGCCTGTAAATGGCACGTTCGCCGTTGCGACGTTTGATGATGCAACATCCGCCCATCATGTTGTCAGCGGTTGCTTCTTTGCGGTGACCGGTGACTGGTTTGGTGCAATTGTAGCTGGTGTGCGTCATGTTGGGTCCAAGGCCGTGCGACCAGCAATACCACATTGGAACTGGGGTGTTGCCAGCTTTGGCTTTGTCGGTTGCGGCGTTGGCGTATCCGACTTCGGCTGCTGTGAGGGTACGACGACGTTCTTTGTCTGCTTTCTTGAAATGGAGCTCTAGCTTCTTCCATGTATGGTCGGTGTCTTCCTTGTTGTCCCATTCACGGATGGCTTGTGTGAAGACGCCACTGTTGGTAAGGTTGGTAGTTGCTGCGATGATGGTTGTCATTTCGGTGATGGGATCATGATCTTTGGCAAACTGTTTGGCAGATTCGATCTGCGTGAATAAGTCTTCGATGGGTTGTGTAGGACTCCATTTGGCATTCATGCGATCGATGTTGTCCTTGAGGTCGACGCGGTCTACTTTTCCATAAGTTGTGTCTAGGTGTTCGAGGAGTGTGAGCACGCTGACATTGGCATAGCCGAAGAGATCATTCTTGAGGGTGTTGGTGAACGTGTCAGGGATGGCTTCTAGGAGCTGTTTTTTGAGGGCTGTACCGACGGCCTTGCAAATGATGAATTGCTCCATGTTTTGAGCATAAAGCCTGTTGGTTTCGGTGATTTGAGCTGCTGTGGCGGTTGCTCCATGGACTGGGTTAGGTCCGGGGTGGACCGGTTCGACCCAAGCGATGGTGTTCTCCAATGCATTGAATGTGGCGGTAGGAATGGTGAGGGCGAGATGTCCATAGTGGCCTCCTCCGAGGCGTGATGTGACGGCCATGGCATTGGCATTGATCTCTTGGTGGATGATCTTGAGGTTGCTGAAGGTTGGCTTCTCCTCTGGTGGAATGGGAGTAAGCTGGGCATGGGAGAAGTAGTCGGTAGCGGTGAAAGATGTCATGGTGGACGGTAGTTCGGAGCGAAATGCTTTGACTATTGCTATCGGTGGATACCGGTAGTTCGTCGGTTGTTAGATTGTTAATAACTGTTGATCCAGGCAGGAGCCCAGTAAAGAGTTGTTACTAAAAGTCTGTTATTAACAATTATGAGCTGGAAACTAGCTACTTGTCCCAGCCTGGGGCAGAGCCTGCAGGCATGGGACTGGCTGGATCTACAGCTACAAACTGCCACTGAAAGCCAGGTGGGCTTCAGTGCAGGCTTGCGTGCATCCTAAGAGTGGGACTGATGTGGGAATGGTGCGCTGGGACTGAGAAGGGTTAGGGGACACAGGGTCACATCAACACTTGCACCATGCTACGGTATGTACCACCATCCAGCAATGACAAATAAATAAATATATTACGGGCTTGCTAGCCACTCATACCCGGGATACCGGTACGGGATACAGCACGGCGACCGTCGGCTGTCCAACTGCTGGTAGCACTCCCACTGCTCCTGACTCTCCCGTGTCCAGCTGGCTGCTACATGCACGCACGTAAAAGAAAGCCTGCAACCTTGTAGACATCATTAAAATTAATTTTGTCTTCCGCACGCTGGTTCCGCATGGAGTGGAGAAGTGCTGTAGCTCCACCTCCAAGCCTTCCAGCATCTCCAAAGTCCTGAAGACTTCAAAAACGATTCGATCCCATTTATCATTCATCATGCTGGGATGGGAGGGGTATCCCGTAACTCCAACAACTCCGCATTTTCTTTGGAGTTTTCCGTTCCAAGATCCAAGATCCTTCGCATCGCTTGCCTTTTCCAAAAGAGATGTCACACGCAGGACATGTTTAAATGTTCTTGAGTGCATCATCGGCTTGCAACCCACGCCAGCACTTGCCAGCTGACTCTCATCCTAAGTAATCAGGTTAAGGATATCGCAGTTTCAATATCTGGCTCGTGCGCTAATTGAAAGGGTTCTGCTGAATCCATTTTTGTTGCAGAACCCTTACTTCACCACCATCAGCACCATTGACAGCTTGGGTTCTCCGAAGGTCAAACGTCGGCTGAGCTTTCCTGCAAAACCTGAAGTGGAGGCAGCTGCTATTTCATCTCAATCGCTGCAAACCAATGACGTTATTGCCGTGTCGTTGAAGTAAGCTTTCAACCGGTATTCCCCTTCCGAGCTCTCGTGCGCATGTCTTTGTGTAACCAAAACCAGTGCAGCGCTGTGTAAAAGGCTTACTCTCCCCCAAATCCGGCTGACTTTTTCACCAAACTTATCTGCAAAAGTTCGAGATCGGCCGGTTGGGATATCATACTAGTAGGTCTGTGGGCATGGGCACAATTCCATTCAGTTGCCTTCTGTAGACAGATCATCAAGCAAACATACATGACATTGAAGGGAGTGAGTAGACCATGCATAATTTGTGGCTTGCACATATAAAGCATTACTTACACTGTTGAAAGAGAACCATCATAGACTTGGGATCCAACTCACAACCAAGGTTGCTTTACTGTATCGTATCGGTAGCGAATATCAATCCGAACTAACTGGAGCTTTCGCCAGGCTGATTCTTTGTTGCGGCAAGCCTCTTCTCCAAGAGGTAGGCTACCAGCTAAGAAGTCCGGTGGCTAGCTAGTATGATAGTAGTAAACCTATCCTTGCTGCTATGTAGCTACCGTAGAGTCCTTGGTAGCCGCAGAATACTGTACATCGTACTTGCACGTGTACCGTGGCAGCACAAGAAGTCAACTTTAATCAATCCTATTTGGGGGATTGCTTCCCTCCCCAACAACTCGGAGGAAGCCATCTTTCCCCATCTGCTTGAAGCAGGTTCTTTAGAAACCCGTGAATGTCGTAGCTTCTGGTTTACTTTTCATTTTCCAACAAAGATACAACACCTTTTTTCGCTTTACCCTTTCCACGATAACAAACTCAAGTTTTCTCCTTTTGCTGCTCGACCTTTCATATCGAGAACCCCTTTGTCAACCCCTGAGCCATACGAGATCTTGTTGAACAAATACGAGAAGCTGAGCCTTTCACTCCTTCTCGTCTTACTTCTTTGATTTGAAACAGCCCGAGTGCTTTACTATTTACTATTACTGGTACTATTATAAAACAACCTCCGCTTCTTTTGAAATTGATTCTACGATGCAGGACAGCACTTCCACACTTCCTTCCGCGGGAACTTCTGTTGTAGTTGGCGACGGTGTTGTTCCTGGTATTAGCAGTGTTTCCCCTTCGTCTGTGATAAATGGGCCTGCGGTATCCTGCATGAGCATCAGCAACTCTTTTTTTGAGCAAGCGGCTCATCAGAATGCCGATGGCGTAGTCTCTCTCCAACAAGGAGACTGCGGGAGAGCCTTCCACTCCTTTGTGGCAACGCTTACCACACTGAGTCACTTTCGGCATTACCACACGTTGCACTCCTCCTCCTCCTCGTCTCTAGATCCTCCAACGCAATGCGCCCCTACTCCTGCGCCCAAACCAAAGAACTGCAAGGCAATCCCTGTTCCGTACTTGGAAGACAGTGGCTTTTACATTTACAATCATGCGGTGATCTTCTCTCGCAGACCTCGTATCGGTGGAGACGGTACTGGTAACCGCAACGGCAATGACAATGACAAGTGCGCTTCGCAGTTGTTGGATACCATTTCCTGGATGGAAGCCGTCACTCAGTTCAACCTTGGTCTGGCGTACCATCAGCGCGGAAAGCACTGCGGTGAAGATCGAACGCTCCAAGGTGCCCTCCAGCTCTACGAACAAGCACAGGCCACACTACGAGGGATCTCCTCCACTAACTGCGAAGAAACCAAGATCTTGCAGTTGGCCGTCATGAACAACCGGATCCATATTCTCAACGAACTCGCGCGATACCAGGAAGCACAAGAACTGGTCAACGATCTCCTCCTGCAGGCGGTGGCTGCTCTTCAGTTCGATGTCTTGTCCTTCTTGACCAAGACGGATATCGATCACTTCCTCTTGAACGCTTTGGTGATTAGGAGGTTCAACACAGCACCGTGTGCATGAGCCCTCCTCCAGGATCCTCGTCACGTGATTGAATCATGCGACGAACGTCCATCCTTCTCCCTCTCGAACTCTCTCCTCTACACTCCTCTGATACATACATCATTTGGCAGCCACAATGTTTTGCACTCTGTACGAATAGCACCTGACACACCACCACCACATCTCTCTTTAGATGTCCCTCTCAACTTAAAGAGTGGGATGAAACATCACCTCACACTCATTCCAATAGAGTTTCCCCAACTAGTTTTACTTGGTAGGAGTTAAATTAACAACAATATCTAGTAACGAAATCCTTCGTTTGAAGATCTATTCATGTCTCTATCCAGTAACGGTACCGTACGCAGGGGATCATCATGCTGCGCCAAGTCGAGTTCTCGGTCTTACAACAATTTCCTCGTCACAGAGTCAGAGATAGAACCACCAATACCTGTGGCGAACAATCATTTATTTGGCCTGCTAGCTAGTGATACAGTTAGTTGAGGTCTCCGGACAAGCGTTGGTCAGGTCCTCACCAACAAAATCACTACCGGTACCCAGGACACAGAATCCATGTTCAACACAGCCAATTATACCTGGTACGTACCCGCGTTTCTCTCATGCAAAGCCTTCGCCAACAAGAGCCCGACCTTGTCCACCTAGACGATTTGAAGGATACAGCAAAAGAGGACGGAACTGGCTGGTCCCTACAGTTGCCCGACTCGTGCAAGAGACCGCACTGTCTCAGGTTCAATGGGATAGCTGGGGGATTGGATAATCGCAACAAATTGCGCTAATTGACGAATCGTCAGTTCCTGCCTCTTCAGTGAGACGTTGCTCATGAGCTTATACAGGTTCATCATCAGCTTGGGATCAGATTGTTCAATATGCTTCATGGAGTCGTACTGCAAGTGGTGCACCCGACAAGGAGAGTCTGTTTCATTGATGCGTTTTGCAGGCGAGGAAAGTGAGGAAGGCGAGGACAAGAATTCCCGACCTGAAGTAAATGAAACCATGCCGGTACTAGTACCTACCACAGACATAAACACCAGCCCGTCTCATTCCGCTGCACTCTTCAATCATACCCACAACCCAGCCAGGACCGATCCTGGCCAGTCGGAAGTTTTGCTCGGTCATCTCAGATTGTCCTCTCATACTGTTCTTCAGCAGGGCCGATTGGAGACCCCAAGGCCCGGACCGAGCGCTAAGGTGACCAAGTGAATTGTTTGACAGAGGATTCACGACAGGCGAAGCTTCATGAATCCTAGGGAATGTCTTTTGATGCGAAGGAGAGATTGTGTAATCGGCGCCATGTTCAATTCGGAGCTGCCCGTATTCAATGAAGAAAAGACCATGGTGAATCTCATTCTCCCAGTGAAGCACCTCATTGGCTTTCAAGTCCATGGGTTTCATGTACTGTGAGAGAGCTTTCAATTCATGGGCTGTATCCAGGCCATGCTAGGTGGTAGAGCTCAAGTTAGACCATCACTGCTAGGTCGCAAGCACAGCGAAACTGGTTGGACCGCTGAACACACTTACTTGTTCATCAATTTTCTTTAGGGCCTGCAGAAAACCTTGCCCTGGATCAGACATAACACGATCCATGGCACGAGATTCCGACTCATCTTTTGCTCGTAGCCCAGAGACCTCTCTAATGAGGGCGTCTTCTGCTTTGATCAATGCAGATTCCAAGTCGGGTGCGAATGCTCGGCTTGGGCTGATCCCGGCGTACACGATCTTGGACTTCAGGCTCGGCGAGAGCCCACTGAAGAACAGACGGCACCCATGGCTCCGGCAAAGAGATGAGATTTCTCTCAGAATGTCAACAGCACTAGTGTCCAAGCCTGTTACGATGCCAAAGTCAATCACCACATACTTGGGCTTGGGTTGCAGCATTTCATTGCCGAGGTTTCCCATCATGTTCAATAAGGCGCCATCTCTTCTCCCGTCGGGTACTGGGTCTTCAAAGAATGTGCTCGCATACTGCCAAACAGATTGAGCATTGCCAAAGAAGAGATAGTTTTGTAAGACTAGAATCTGGATCAAATCACCATTTTGGTTCAACCAAGTTGTTTCTGGCACTCCCCGTTCCACTGTACTCCGAAGAGCTAGCCCATTTCCTACGAACTTCACAGTTCCTGCTCGGTAGAAATCTGCCACAAAGATAAATGTTGACATGGCAACACCAAGAAAGATTGCGTTCAACATCCCAACAGTAAACGCCAGCACAACAATCGTTGGAGCTACCATCCACTCCAGCTTTGCCTTGGTTTTGATGTAGGACTGGACAAGCCAGGTTTTCAGCATATCAATGCCCGCCAGAACCATGAGGGATGAGACTGCTGGTTTTGGAATATATTGTACTAGCTGGAAGTTGGTAAGATAGAACACCAATACTAAAAGGATGGAGCCATATTGGGGACCCACCCCATCACATCCGAGCTGTAGCAATCGAACAGTCTTGTAAGTTAGTATCCCGAGGAACACAGCAGCAGTCAAACGCTGTCCCAAACCTACCTTGAATAGAGTTGATGCGGATCCCAGTGCTGGAGCAGTGGCAATACCTCCTGTGAGTGCTGCCAGCAGTTGACTATATCCATATCCATTTTCCAATATCTCGCCCAGGGAAGGCTCTTTGGCTGTCTTTGTGTTACTGCTGCTGATGACATGAGCTGGTGGCTGCTGTGCCGCAGCGCGGGTCACATTTGGTAAGTTTTTCTTCAGAGCCGCTGCATGCAAAGAGCAGCGAATGACATACAAGAACACCAATGCAGACATGGTGGCAAGTCCGGCCCGAAAGGAAGGCCAATGGACGTCTCCATGTAGCATCATGACCCAAACACCCATTGGAGCAGGAGCCGCCCAAGACCACCACCATGCACTTTCCTCATCTTCCGAACTGAAAAAGGGTGGATCTTGCAAGTCTTTGGCCGAGAAAAACCAGTTCATGTCTTGTGCAGCGTCCAGGGATGTCCCCGTGATCCAAAGGATGGAGTAAGAACTCAAAACGGTGGCAAAGATCAAGGCAATAACGTAGAGAGAGTTCCGTTCTGCCACAATGTACATGGTAACACCAACGGCGACCGAAGGTGCATGATGAAGCAGAGCATGTCCCCACACTGTCATCCATGAGGATTCGTTGCCTTCCTGCTGATAATCATAATGTATCAACTCTCTAATCTTCATCCCGGTGTCGACAGAGAATCCAAGGGACCAGATCAGAACGCCAATTGTTGAGAAAAAGCCACAAAGGACACAATAGGGCAAGAAGGAGCCCATGTTTGCCAACTTGATTCGAGCCGCAAGGATACATAGTACTGCACTAAATAGCATTCCCAGCCCAATCAAGGCTCCAAATGTTGCCAAGAATGCTCGATCATCATTTTCCAGGCCATATTCAAAGAGACTGGCATCAACATCGGCTGCCACTTGAGCGAGAAAGGGGCTGAGAAACAAATCACTGGCAGGGTAAATGGCGGGAACACCAACGCCGAGCTCCCATATAAAGACAGGGCCAGAAAACAGGGTTCCAATGGCGGCTACTTTTGCCATGACGCCAACACTGGAGTGATCAGCATGTGGGCGAGTGATGGTCGAAGCTTGGGCGAGACAATAAACAACGTGATTGAGGAGAAAGAGTAGAGAACCAATGGTGGCGGACTTGATGTTTTCTGTACTGGCGCAGTCGGCCATCTGTTCTTGGCAGCAAGAACCTTGGTCGAGAGAAACAAACGTTGCTACGGGGGAGGCATCATGGTGGTCAATTTCTAGTGGTAGTGCTGTTGTAGTTAACCAAGAAGAGCACTTCTTCTCATCCGCAGCACAAGCAACATCCCAAGCCGCAATCTTCATACTTTTTTCTTTTTTTTTGTGCCAAAGTGTGGGCTGCTTCGTTGTGAGCGAGCCGAATGATTTCATTGGCAGGTTGAAGTGAAGCCGTTTGACACAAGATTCAAAACAAGGTTTTTCACTTTTTTTTCTTCTTCTTCTCCCCCCCCCCAGACACCATTTCGTACTGGACCTCTTGTTCGAGACAAGCAACAGCTCTTCCCTTGCAATAGAGTGGTCCACACATCCACAACTACCTGTATCAGTAGCAACACCTCATGCTGAAGAAGGCACTCAAAGTAGTGCTGTCTGCGCTGCTCTAGCAGGATTTGTAGCTGCTGTAGTTGTCATTATGAACAGCGCCCCAAATTGCCAAATTGCCCGCCCAAGTTGCCCTCTTAGACAACCGCAACCAAGCTCTCTCCCAGCGCTAGTGAGCCATCTATCTCTTCTCTACTAATATTGGAACCAGCTCTGGATCAAGAGCTTGAAGCCCAAGGGCCTAGTAATTTGTCACGGCTCATTTGAAAACCTGTGCGATTTCTCCCCCATTTCCAATACTACATGTACATCATGACTCGATCTACAGGCCGGGAAGATCCCTCTGGACTACCGGCAACAAGTACAGAGGGTACCATTGTGTTGGCGATATTGAAAGAGTTTCGAGTGGAGAGGAACTCCATAACAAGTCCCAACAGGTAAGCGATAATGAAGGTGCGACCGACAACTTCCCACTACAGCTACGATCGATCGGCCGACACTATGAAGGAGTGGTAGGTTCAAAGCCGCTATCAGGGATGTTTAGAGGAGTGTCTAAGCTCTCCATAGCAACAAAAGGAAGTCAATTTGGTCAAGAAATCATGGAGATTCATCCATCGGCAGATAGAGGTGAATTTCGAGGAATTACTGGCCATAGGAAGACGTTGTGGCGCCCATTAGGATCCGTACAGAGCCATGCATTTGAAGCCCAGGAGTGGATCAGTTGCGTCTATCTGTGGCTCCTGTATCAAGAAAAGGTCGATCAAATGAGGATGGCTACTCCTACCTATCGTCGTTGTTGCATTGCGAGCTATCCTCTTGTCGAATCGCAAGCTATCGATGTCCTCTCCATGCTCATGAATCCCGATCGCACCATTCCACTTCCTCGAACAAATTAGAAGAGAAACCGCGTAGGGCCGCACAATATCCAACCGGTCTTCCTTTACGACGATGGACTCTGCCACAAGAAAGATAGATTAAACGAGGACTACTAGCTGGAAGCTTGGTAGCATCCCTTGCTACTAGTACGTCGTTTTCGAATATATTGTCGAATTACTGGTATCCTCTCGATTCAAGCAATCAGCAGTGTTCACTTCAAATGCTTTCTTCGTGGTGTTGTGGCCTTCATGGAGATCCTCGTTCCGGCACACCCAGCTTCTTCCTTGTCGGATTCGAGGCCTTCCACTCTTGGGAGGATGATCCTTTGTTTTTCAAAGAACACCTTGTGGCTGAATGATACTAGTAGAGTTTTCTTGCTTGTTTTGGGATCTTCAGTCTCTACAGAAAATGATGTTGATGATGAACATACAGAGTCGAGTCGTCCGACCATACATGTAGAGTGCATTACTGTATGGTTGGACCCACAAGGCACGGTACCCGTACCATCCAGAAAGTACGGTACAGTACCATAAGTTTGAAACGGGGACCAATCGGCCCTGGAAGTTTCAGCTGCTGAAGACATTGCTCATGGGCTGGATTCGGGAGGTACGACTGTAGCCATACAGCCGAGTCGGACAAGTCCGCCTTGTCCAGATAGACGATTTGAAGGATACAGCAAAAGAGGACGGAACTGGTTCCTACAATTAACCTACTCTTGCAAGAGACCGCATCGTCTCCGGTTCAGTGGGATAGCTGGGGGATTGGATAATCGCAACAAATTGCGCTAATTGACCAATGGTCATTTCCTGCCTCTTCAGTGAGACGTTGCTCATGAGCTTATACAGGTTCATCATCAGCTTGGGATCGGATTGTTCAATATGCTTCATCGAGTCGTACTGCAAGTGATGCAATCGACAAGGAGAGTCTGTTTCGTTGATCCGTTTTGCAGGCGAGGAAAGTGAGGAAGGTGAGGACAAGTCTTCCCGACCTGAAGTAAATGAAACCTTGCCGGTACTAGTACCTACCACAGACATAAACACCAGCCCGTCTCATTCCGCTGCACTCTTCAATCATACCCACAACCCAGCCAGGACCGATCCTGGCCAGTCGGAAATTTTGCTCAGTCATCTCAGATTGTCCTCTCATACTGTTCTTCAGCAGGGCCGATTGGAGACCCCAAGGCCCGGACCGAGCGCTAAGGTGACCAAGTGAATTGTTTGACAGAGGATTCACGACAGGCGAAGCTTCATGAATCCTAGGGAATGTCTTTTGATGCGAAGGAGAGATTGTGTAATCGGCGCCGTGTTCAATTCGGAGCTGCCCATATTCAATGAAGAAAAGACCATGGTGAATCTCATTCTCCCAGTGAAGCACCTCGTTGGCTTTCAAGTCCATGGGTTTCATGTACTGTGAGAGAGCTTTCAATTCATGGGCTGTATCCAGGCCATGCTAGGTGGTAGAGCTCAAGTTAGACCATCACTGCTAGGTCGCAAGCACAGCGAAACTGGTTGGACCGCTGAACACACTTACTTGTTCATCAATTTTCTTTAGGGCCTGCAGAAAACCTTGCCCTGGATCAGACATAACACGATCCATGGCACGAGATTCCGACTCATCTTTTGCTCGTAGCCCAGAGACCTCTCTAATGAGGGCGTCTTCTGCTTTGATCAATGCAGATTCCAAGTCCGGTGCGAATGCTCGGCTTGGGCTGATCCCGGCGTACACATCTTGGACTTCAGGCTCGGCGAGAGCCCACTGAAGAATAGACGGCACCCATGGCTCCGGCAAAGAGATGAGATTTCTCTCAGAATGTCAACAGCACTAGTGTCCAAGCCTGTCACAATACCAAAGTCAATCACCACATACTTAGGCTTGGGTGGCAGCATTTCGTTGCCGAGGTTTCCCATCATGTTCAATAAGGCGCCATCTCTTCTCCCGTCGGGTACTGGGTCTTCAAAGAATGTGCTCACATACTGCCAAACAGATTGAGCATTGCCAAAGAAGAGATAGTTTTGTAAGACTAGAATCTGGATCAAATCACCATTTTGGTTCAACCAAGTTGTTTCTGGCACTCCCCGTTCCACTGTACTCCGAAGAGCTAGCCCATTTCCTACGAACTTCACAGTTCCTGCTCGGTAGAAATCTGCCACAAAGATAAATGTTGACATGGCAACACCAAGAAAGATTGCGTTCAACATCCCAACAGTAAACGCCAGCACAACAATCGTTGGAGCTACCATCCACTCCAGCTTTGCCTTGGTTTTGATGTAGGACTGGACGAGCCAGGTTTTCAGCATATCAATGCCCGCCAGAACCATGAGGGATGAGACTGCTGGTTTTGGAATATATTGTACTAGCTGGAAGTTGGTAAGATAGAACACCAATACTAAAAGGATGGAACCATACTGGGGACCCACCCCATCACATCCGAGCTGTAGCAATCGAACAGTCTTGTAAGTTTGTGTCATAAGGAACAAAGCAGAAGGCAAACACTCTCTCGAACATACCTTGAATAGAGTCAATGCGGATCCCAGTGCTGGAGCAGTGACAATACCTCCAGAGAGCGCCGCCAGCAGTTGACTGTATCCATATCCATTTTCCAATATCTCGCCCAGGGAAGGTTCTTTGACAGCCATTGTGTTCCTGCTGCTCATATGGGCTGTTCGATCAAAAGATGCTCGGATCATGGGAGATGGTGGCTGCTGTGCTGCAACGCGCGTTACGTTTGGTATATTTTTCTTCAGAGCCGCTGCATGCAAAGAGGACCGAATGACATACAAGAACACCAATGCAGACATGGTGGCAAGTCCGGCCCGAAAGGAAGGCCAATGGACGTCTCCATGTAGCATCATGACCCACACACCCATGGGAGCAGGAGCCGTCCAAGACCACCACCATGCAGATCCCTCGTCTTCCGAACTGAAAAAGGGTGGGTCTTGCAAGTCTTTGGCCGAGAAAAACCAGTTCATGTCTTGTGCAGCGTCCAGGGATGTCCCCGTGAACCAAAGGATGGAGTATGAACTCACAACTGTGGCAAAGATCAAGGCAATAACGTAGAGAGAGTTTCGTTGTGCCACAATGTACATGGCAACACCAACAGCAACCGAAGGTACATGATGAAGCAGAGCATGTCCCCACACAGTCATCCATGAGGATTCATTGCCTTCCAGCTGATAATCATAATGTATCAACTCTCCAACCTTCATCCCAGTGTCGACAGAGAATCCAAGGGACCAGATCAGAACGCCAATTGTTGAGAAGAATCCACAAAGGACACAATAGGGCAAGAAGGAGCCCATGTTTGCCAACTTGATTCGAGCCGCAAGGATACAGAGCACACCACTGAACAGCATTCCCAGCCCAATCAAGGCTCCATATGTTGCCAAGAATGCTCGATCATCATTTTCCAGGCCGTGTTCGAAGAGACTGGCATCAACATCGGCTGCCACTTGAGCGAGAAAGGGACTGAGAAACAAATCACTGGCAGGGTAAATGGCGGGAACACCAGCGCCGAGCTCCCATATAAAGACAGGGCCAGAAAACAGGGTTCCAATGGCGGCTACTTTTGCCATGACGCCAACACTGGAGTGATCAGCGTGTGGGCGAGTGATGGTCGAAGCTTGGGCGAGACAATACACAATGTGATAAAGGAGAAAGAGTAGAGAACCAATGGTGGTGGACTTGATATTTTCTGTACTGGTGCAGTCGGCCATCTGTTCTTGGCAAGAGGCATCCTTGTCGAGAGAAATAAACCTTATCAATTCAGGCGGCACAGCAGGTGCCTCTTGGTTCTGATACGAAGAGAGACCCGCTCCATTGCTCGCATTAGTTGGTAATGGTGGTTTTTCAAACAAAGATGAAAGCTTCGAAGCAGCCATCAAAGGCTTTTCTTCTTGGTCTTGGTGCGAAGATTTCTTGTTGGTTGACATCGTGTCGATTGGTGGTTGTTGAAGACTGTGAGATGATTTCGTCAAGGCTACATTCAGCCTGCACGTTGAAGTTCATGTGCAACTGTCTTGTCCCTTGAGATCCACGGACCTCATTCCAGACCAGTTGGCTCTTATTTGTGATGTATTTGCATCATCTTCATGCTTTCTACGATTGGTGGTTGCGCTGCAGTGAGTGGCTTCATTCGAAAGATCGACTGCTTGATTGCTTGATTGCTTGATGACACCGTGGGAGTCTGCAATCGTCCCCGTTCCAGACCCTTTTCTGACGTCATTGAAATCGGCTCAATAGAGTTTCGGTTGAGGTTGTAAAGCACAGTTGTTGTGCGGATACCAGTACGGTGTGTGGCTTGTAGTGCCAGCCTGTGTGATCATTTCCGGTGATTTTCGGGAATGCTCGCAAATTGTCTTGTTTGAACATCATGCAAATTTGTCAAACGAATGATGGGTATCTATCATTGGAGCAATACTACATGTACGACTGTACTACAAAAGTGTGGCGATAAAGTATACTAGGTACTATTATAACGATGCGTTCTACAGTTCCCAGAAAGGCCTTAGCACGACGATGAGGATGCTGACATTGTCCCTGCTTCTTCGTACTCGAATTGCTTGATCACTCAAAATTCTGGCAACCTCTGCTGGTTCTCCCCGATGCGCAATCAACTCTTGACGTGCAAGAGCGACTGCATCTTGGGATCGGAACACATCGAACAGACCATCGCAAGCTAACAGGAGGAATTCGTCTGTATGGCTCAGCACCTGGAAAAGCACGAAAAACTTAGTCTCTGATCATCAACAGCAAACAAAAAACGAACAAAACACAATTCCACGCTTACCATCGACGCAATTTCTGGCTCTGCACTAACTAGCGGTGCTGTCAAGTCTCTCGCTTGTTCATTTTCGTTGACTCCTCCTGCTAACTCTTCTGCTTCCTCCTCGAGCATAGCCTTGATTCCCATCTTGAAGGATTTGTCACCAAAGGCTCTCGTAATGGCTAGTTCACCCATGACGCGCTTGTGGAGGATGAAGCCGCCAGCTTGCCGCACACGTGCCGCCTCGTCTGGTCGACTGGGCTTATGATCACTCGTGAGTTCCACGCATTGGCCTCCGCCGCGACACAATACAACACGACTGTCGCCGACATTGGCGGCGAAGAGTCGTCGGCCCATCAATATGACCGTTGCACCAGTGGAACCACTTTGCGGTGCTGTCTTTGGAGTGATGAATTCTTTATCCGTTCTCAAATATGCGGCTTTCAGTATCTTTCTCATGAGCTCTGACGCAGCGTCTTCCGTTTGTTCGCCACGAGCTGTATTCCGGCTTTGTTCAATCGCGGACTGTAGAGATTCTCGGTCGGCAAGCATGGCTTGTCTGATATGTCGAGGTAATGCCTCGACCAAATAGTTGGAACATTCGTCACCTCCGTGACCATCAAAGACGGCAGCAAAGGAAGTCATTGCAAGCTCGTAGAGGTGTTCTTTTGGCTCGTTGCGGTAGTATCCGTGGCTTGGCTCATACATCAGATTCTGAATAACCACGGTTCGATCTTCCATTGTTGGCCTTGCACCGATGGCTTCTGATATTCCAAAGTCAAAGTGATTTACGGAAAAACCTGTTCTGCCCACTATAAACTCGTCGCCGACACCGAGGGCGCCCATGCCTTTCATGCTGTAGGGCCCGACTAGTCGCATGTAGGATCCGTTCTGATGACAGGCAACAACAAACGATAAGATGGAGGCTTGCACCAGACGTTGATCAGAGAGGCGTATCAGGCGCAACACTTACCGTACTCTCCAGATCCACCAAAACGAAAATTCCGTTGCCAGTCTTTGCCTTGTTTGCTCCGTTGCCATTACGGTTGGGTAGGTACAAAATTGCACCGTGTCGGCGACTCAGTTCTCGATCCATGATGCATAGATCAGCTTGGTGGGCTCTTCCAAAGACGTAGGGGCATCTGGACGCTTGTACATCGATCAACTTGCCCCTCATGGGTCCTTTCGAACAGTGGATGGTTATTCGTTGTTTCGCTTCGATGCAGTCTTCGACGTTGAAGACGGAATTCCCAGCAGCAAAAGATGCCCCCTTACACAATACCCATCGATCAGCATCCAAGGTGAGGATCTGAGCCTCTCTGGTCGGCCCCCCGTCAGGACCGTTCTTTCCGGTCATGAAGACTTTCGCTTTGCCGACACGTACTGCCGCATCGCCACGGTCCCCTCGGATTTGCCAGCCTACGGTCATGCCTGCTCGAAGAGCATGAGCAGTTGCTTGTTCGCCATCAGTATCGTTCACTCTGGTAAGGATACCAGCGGCTGGTCCTGTCATGGAGTCGTCCATTCGACGACAGATACTATCGGGTGAGTGTGAATTGGGGCCACCATTACCAATTGTAGTAGGTCTACCGTAGAGCGTCCAGTAAGCAGTTGCAGGCTCGGGTTTGCCTTCGTCCTCGTCTTCTGATGTTGTGAATTTGAGGCATATTCGGTAGAGAGATCGTGTATATATTTCTCTAGAGGATGAAAATTCGCGACCACCCCGAGTCCAAGCTTCTGGGTCATTGCGGTTGTTGGCTCCGGCATCATTCATGGCTGTATCGTTGGCGTGATTGTTTGTACCGCCAACAAAATTCAGTACTCCTGCTGATGATCCATTATTCGCAGTAGGTGCTGCACTCCAGGCTGATGACGGAAATGTTGCCATCGCAGATTGGAGGAGTATAATAGCTTTGTGGAAAGTGGGGCGAGTACTCTGTTGTCGGTTGCTGTTGTTGACCTTTGTCTCTAACCCATGAAACTTTTATGTGATTTGCCGCGTGATGATTGTGCAAATGCTCAAGCTTCACTGGGAAATACAATGACTGTCTGAGGAAAGGGAAGCGTGGGGCTGGGAGGTGGATACTAATATACAATGCGAGGACGGCTCTTTGCTCCACACTGTCTCATCACATGGAGGAACGCCAATCGATGGTGAAACAAGCAAGGAGAACAAAGACACAAGTGAGAGGCACGCTCTTGAAGACAGAAGGCAGCTAACATGGACGACTCCAACTTCGGTCTTTCGGTGCAACTGCCACAGACTGCCTCTGGATTTCACCAGAGCCATCCGTTTCAGCAGCCCATTGCCTATCAGTCCTCGAGCAGCTTCCTTGGCCCAACGCTTACATAGACAATGTCCTGGTTTGGGTTGCCACTGTATGGGCTTCCGAGTTGGTCCATTGTCACCAGCATTTAGTGGCTCCAGAAGAAGGCTGCTCCGGACAATCGCCGTATGTAGAACCAGTACTAGCGCGCAATGACAGCCGCCAAAAAAGCCGTTCGCTGCCAATGAGGATCTTGGCGTCTAGGAGATTCAACAACACACCTTCTTTGCACTCTTCAACACCAGACTCCTCAGCGCTTTAGACAACTCGACTACTGCTGTTGTTGCCGTCTTATTGTCAACAGCAACAGACCTATCCACCACTACAGTACTCTCTCCACGACAAAGTTTTCTTTTGCTGCTCCAAAGCAAAGATGCTGCTCTTCCGGTCGCCAGCCAAGTGGACGGCAGGATCGAGTGCGATGTAAACCGTCATACTACGGTATCCCTAATAAATCAGAAATTTAGGGTTATCAAAGGTGGTGTGAATTTCCGCTTTCTCATTTCGACCTTCAGGATCCAAATCCAGAAGAAGTACCGAACCATCCTTTCCCACTCGAAAGCAATCCATTTTAACTCTTAAAATAATTTGGTAGTATCGTCACCACCATGGCAAGTCAACAGCAGGTGGCGGATCTCCTCAAGAACCTTATTTCCAAAGGATTGGAAACGCAAGATGCCTTGCCGACCATCAAGGCACTCGTGACGGCCAAGATCTTTTCGTTGGATCAACTGACACCTGACAACATGCCATCTTCCATTTCCAAATCCATACAGGCCAAACTTTTGAAAAAGTCACGCAAAAAGGGAGCCCCGTCGCCTGGTAAGAAAAAGAAGCAAAAGACGACGCCAATTTGCATTCCTCCCGTCTCCACGGCGCCGCAAACAATCCTGATTAATCGTTCTCCAATCTTGACGCTGTGGGTCGCGGTCGTGGCAGAACGGCTGTTCTCGTTAAAGTTCGAAGAAGCCATGACGGTAGGCAGTGCCTATGCTGCGGAATGTGCGCGAGCCAAGGGAACCAGTTTGGGGATTTATACCGAAACAACCCAAGAGAAAAAGGATGGACCTAGTGAGGATGCTGGTGACGCGAAGAGACAGTTTCTACTCATGAATCAGACTATCCGCGCCAACCAAACACCCGCAGGATGGAGAGCAATTGGCAATAAGGAGGAAGAAATTGATCCTCATCAGATTTGGAAAAGCTTGACCAAGAAATTGGGGGATGATCTTCCTTTTGTTCTTGAGAGAATGAGAGAGGCAGCAGAGGCAGCGGGGGAGGATCTGGACGCTAGCGCGTACAACTATTATGTTCATGTCCGACCAGGCATCCCTCATGGTACCAAAGGGTGGGGTGCTCATGGGCATTTGCAAACGAGCAAGTTGTCGGATTTTTACCCCGTATCCAAACCCCCACCTTCAGTGAAGTGAGGCAGTGCAAGGAAGGAAGGAGGGAGGAGGATATTGTGATTTGAACGATGCGTTGGACTAGGTGTTTTTGCATATTTAGGTACAGTAGGTAGTTGGTTGTGTGGCGGAGCATGAACAAATGTGCATGGAGAGATACATGGAAAGAGTACATGAGCGAGCTCAACATGGATGTGATACGATAGCGATTCAAAGCAGATTCATTGCCTTTTCCAAATGCCCATGTTCCAATCTGGAGGATAGCATCCGATAACCTACTAGCTAGTAGTCCCACAGAACAGTTCATGTAGCTCACCGATAGGAGCCTCGAAGCAATGCACCTTCTCTGCTAAAAGACCGCTTTGGAGGCTGTTTCTCGAATGCAGGTGATGACTCCCTGAATCTGTATGGCGACGACCAATGCCCAGCTCACCAATTTGGATTCCATTCCGAAATTGGCGAGGTACCAGTACATGTAGGAGCAACTGAGGCCCCGTGTTCCAAAAAACAAGCTACACCCCAGTCCCACGGTGAGTCCTTGCAACTCTGGCTTCTGTCGACGGAATGTTTGGTTCTCTAGCTAGCTGCTGCTAAGGGTCTCAGATATCATGTGGGGCTGACTAGCTAGCTGGTAGCTAGCCCGTGCCAGCAAACCATCTATTATTGGGCGCAGAGCTTGATAGATGGGCATTGCTTACCGTATGCAATTGTCAGGTGCGAACTGAACTTTGAAGTGGACCGAATAATTGAGTTGCTGGGCGGGACCCAAAACGTGTCTGAAAGTCAGCTTCCGATGCCTCTTTGTTCGATGTTCCGCTCGAACAAACAAGAAAACAACCACCTTGTCTGTCAACACAGCCACCAGATTTGCTTCATGTGGTCGCCATGGACTGTCGCTTTGGTTGAGCCGTTGAGTTGAAGCACAAAGCAATAGAACCTGGGGTTTTGCGGTGCGTCATCAAGAGCCCAAGACTTCATCCAACTAGAATTTTCTGCGCTTGTACTCGATAACGACGACGATGATGAAGAAGAAAGCCTCCAACCGCCGACATCGGACATTGTGGGCATTCACCGTCGTTACTGTGGTGTACTTTGGACACTATGTGCTTTTTCTGTCTCGCCTGACACCTCGATTCCAAAGATTCTTGGATACAACAATCAATAATGGCATGCTCGACCTTCCCGCAATCGCTGCCAAAACAGGGACGTATGATTCGCCCTCTCCAAGAACAACCGGCTTTGTCAGCTGTCTCTGCAATAGCAGTGATCGAGAGTCTGTACTCCAGGTTCTGGCATTGGCTCAATCACTACAAAGTTGGAGGGACGAAGAAAGAGGATGGGTGTTGGAGATTTATCACAATGGCCAATTGAGTCGATTTTTGCAGGCTCACTTGGAATCCCAATATGCGTCTTTTGTGACGGTGATTGACCTCTCATGGTACTACGAGGCCACCAGTGACGACAACCTCTGTCTCGCTCAAGCGCTAAAGACAGCCTCTTTGAAGCATGCGTTGGTCGTCCCATCGTCCATTCAATTTCTACAAAGTCCAAAATCAATATTGCTCGGATTGCAAGAACAACACTCACAGCATCAGGCATGCCAAAAGGAAGAATGCCGTACTTGTGTCACGTTGGCAACTTCTGGCACCAATACACAAATGGATCCTTCAGATCTCGTAGACGACAAAATATGTCAAGTCCCACTCGCTTCTGTTTTCACAAAGACGGACACTGTCCATCATGCCTCTCTCAGCAAGTCCACGCAGATTGGTACTACGCACTCCAGCAATAATAGAATGGTCTGGATGGAATATTCTACCCAATTCCTTCAATGGTATTCAGTCAATGATTACAGCGAGGAAACAATCACAACAACGACAATTGACGGCAGCATTTCTTCCAACGACAATCAAATCCTTCAAAAGCACTTGCAGCAACACCAGACACAGATGAGGCAAGCAAGACGACTGATACTCATGGATCGACCCATCGAATGGGTAGCCTTTGACACGGGATTCCACGTCGGGAAAAGTGCGACGCTCAACACGCTCCAAGCTGCCAACCAATCTCTGCAAGCCGGAACCAAAATGCTCAACATTGATATTGGTCTTACCAGCGATTTCCAATTGGTGGCCGTCCACAATGACAAGAGTATTACTCCTGCCGATTTTGCCGATAGCAAATTGAAAACGTCCATCTTTCAAATGCCGGCAAAACAAGCCGTCAAGTTGATCAGTCCCTGTCTTCCAAGAGACATTGTCACGTCCAGCTTGTTGCCTGGCAATCCCTACCAACCTTATCACTGTCAACCCGAACCGGTGGCCTTTGTATCGGATTTTGTCCGACTCGTCCAGGAACACGACAGCAAACATCGCCAGAAGGAACCAACAGAGATCATTTTGGATTTGAAAGCACCACAGGTGGCACTGCAAATACAACAAGCTCGAATATTGGCCAAGGACATTGTTCCATCTTTACGAGGTCAAACAGTGGCTGTGCGATTCTTTTCGGTCTTCCAAGAAGAAGATAGACTTGCTGCCACTGTGTTTCCGCAAGAAGCATTGCAAGCATTACGAACGGACAGCGAGTTGCGGGGCATTGGATATTATGTGAATGTTCCGTCCAAACTGGCGTGCCACCAAATAGGGTATTGGATCCAGAATCAGACAGGCTTTATCAACCAAAACATTCGTGGCTGTTTTGTGATTCAGAAGCATGAAAACATTGCAGCCAGCTGGAGGGAATTCACCAAAGAAAACAGTATCAACAGGTTCGAAAGACCCCGGATGCAAACTGATATGCGAATGGAATCGCAACAACGGCTCAAATATATTTGTGATGTGCCCCGTAAGCAATCCTTTGTTAACCCATCCTTGTGGGCCAAAGAGTATGTGCGCTGCGTGGAAGATGGATTTGACTACATCCACGACCCCTTTCCGCCTCCATCGTCCGTACTAGAAGCTGCCATGGAAGAACAGGAACAGTCGCCCAGACCCATATCAAGTATTCAAGATTTTGGCACTTTGGCTCGACGGATCATCCAACGCCACCTGCAACGCAATCAGACGAACCCTAGAGGAAACCCGCAGTTGATTCATTGGGGTTTTGGCACTGCCACCGATGAAATTGAGTACCAGTGGTTCGCGGGGTCGCAGATGATCAAGCAAAGCGATGGAACAACATTACTCACCAAAGAAAATCGCAACATGCGCTGCATAACCAAAGTTCTTTCCGTCATGCTATTTCTCAAGTTTCAAGAGATGGGCTACCTGAATATCAACGACAAGATAGTCGATGGAGACAACAATACGCACCCAATGACATTCCGACACGTTTTCTCCAACGTGGGTGGATCCAATGGCACCATCATTGGAAAGAACTTCCGTTACACTAATGATCTGTGGTACTTGATCCCTGGCGCCTTCGAACGCATCACCGGGATGAAGTTCGTAGATTGCGTGAAGGAGTATGTGATTGAGCCAATGGGCTTGACCGGACAGTATGACGCCACCAATAAGACTATGCCGCCTCTTGCTGGTCGGGGCTACAATGGGCACCCAACAGATATAGCTGTGATTGGAGCGACCCTGGCAGCGTCTGGTATCTCCCCCAAGACTCGGAAACAAGTTGTATCGCCAGAAAGTGTCCAACTTATGCTGCAAGATACCATCTCTACTCCTAACTTGACCGAGTCCTTCAATAGAGACAAGATTGTCCTTGAAATGGACCGGCTCTACAACCAAACGGGTCTGTTTCCGAATGGCTTCTGCAACGGGTACGGGATGGGCGTATGGCTCGTCGATGGTTGGCGACATACAGCACAAGGGCTGCCCATCGAGGCATACCTATCACAAGGTTCCGGTATGGTGTATAGTGATACGACGGGGTTGGTCATTTCGTTCAGACCAAACGGCATCTTTACGGTTTTCAATGTAAGATCCTTTGTCAAAATTGTGCGGGACATTGGAAATGCAATCCTCGACTTCGGTCCTGGAACCACTGTGTCTCCTCCTCAAGAGCAAACTGGTCCTGCATCTCCTCCTCAAGAGCAAACTACGCGGCGACCGTCACCATCCACGATGCGCACCCGGACGGGCCGACATTCTACTCTTTTGTCGGCGGCTCATCTCGCTGGATTAACGAACCGTGTCAGAGACCAAGATGATGGCACTGGATCAACGAACATTGTCAGAAACCAAGAGGGGAAAAGGGAAGACCTGGACCGGGAAGAGAAGAAGAAAGACAGCAAAAGAGCGGATGCGAGGAAGAAGACAAAGAACAAGAAGAAAGAAAACTAGAAGTAAATCTTTGGATGGCTTTCCTTCACTGCACTGCTATATGTACGTGAGTACATGTGCTTCAGTAGATAATTTCCCTACTCTAAACTTCTTGTCGCAAGCAGCGCTTTCTAATACTAATATCTGAAAACCCAATTCTCTCCCTCTCTCCCGGACTGAACGGCTCATATGCACACTCAGGCCGTACCGTACCGTACAGTACTTGTGGTGTCGAACACCTGCCGCAGCTTCTCTTAAAAGCACTTCCTTCTTCACATGGACCGAGACGCGAAAAGGCCGAATCTTTGAAGTGGGTGCAGTAGCTGTGCAGGATCGTACATGAACCAGGTAAAGCGTACTCTACTAGCTGCCTGGTAGCTAAAGTACGTCTGAAAAGACGACTGAAAGATCCTTTCCACATGATGGTGCCGTGGTGATGGTGCTACCACTACACGCCAGTGGTTATAGAAGGTAACCATGTCATGTGCTAGCATCGACCAACTCCCCGATGTTGCCATTGCAATGGCCATGGTATTCGCAGATTACGGTGCAGCGCCTCGAGAACCCAGTTGCCCTGCTGCTCGGTATACGTGTGTAAACAAGAGATGGCATTTCATCTATCAAAATGCCTGTGCAATGCGGCTGTTCGCCACCAATCCACTCCGGCGTATCACGCACTGGACGATTCGCGATGAGACCCCAGGGGGTAATCCAGGAGTGGGCAATTTGGCCGAAACCATTGTGGATGGTTGGGTTCCTCCTCGCGGCTCACGGACACCTCGCTGGTGGACTTCGGGCTATGCTTTTCGAGGCGGCAGCTGGAGCGGCGATCCCCAAAGAGATTCTCGCGGCGGTCCATTTGATCTTTTGCACGGTTGTCCAGCTCCGTGTTTGCACGTGACCTTTTCTTCTTCAAGGCCCGTTACCGTCCGTGCCATTGCCATTGCAGCTCGCAATCGCCCTCGCTTGATTCGTGTCTGTACTGGCGTTGATCATGACGGATGTGTGGTTCATATCCCACCTCCCAGCTTGCAAGACAGGCCAGAAACCGGGCTATCCTTAGCTCCTATCCATTCTCAACAGTATATGCAGCTCGTGGCATTTGCACTACCACAGGGAAAGCCACCCAGCCAAGAAGCCTTGAGGTGGAATTCGGCACTCCCCGTTGTTTTGCCCGAACCACTCCATTGTGCGACGGGGGAGCTGAGAGTCTACATTCTACAGAGCCACGAATGTGGATGGGTTGGCATCAACCAAATGGCTTTCTTTGCTTGATTAGCGCGCGATAAGATAAAAAGAACTAGCTAGTGGCAATGAAGAGCGCCCCCCACCGCTGTACATTTGCAGAGTTTTGTTTGGACTGCCGCCTCTTACGCACAACAGAGCTAGCTAAATGTAACCATACAGCAATGGAATTTGCTGCCCGAGCAAGGGTACGGTACGGTAGGGTTCCAAATCCTTCCAAGCTACACGAGAAGGACGAAAAAGGAGTCTAGAGAGATCCACACGGTAGCTGTCGCTATAGTGGTTCAGAAAATGTAAATTGTATTTCTGTTCTTTTGCGAACTTGCTGGCTGAATTGCTGTGCTCTTTCACAAATCTTCATCTGATAGTTGCAACGCCTTGTGTGCGATGCTTCTATTTTTGGCAACATATTTTATTTTTTGCCTTGGTTGGTACCCAAAGCTTCTTCCAATTGTATGGAACATCTGGTCCATGCCGACCCAAGACCAACTCCGCCACCAAATCCAGTAATCAATTTGCGAGCACTTCCACCGGCACCTCCTCTTGCCAACACCAATCCGGCCATGAATCCCAGACCAATCCCAGCTCCAGTTTGAATGGCAATGGTTTCGAATCCTTCCTTCATGACCTCCGAGACGACACTTTCAGGAGGCGTCGCCACAGCACTGGCGGTTGTTGGCTTGCTGGCTTCCATGGTTGATCTCTCGCTTAAAAGAGAAAATAGATGTATGTGATTTTGTCGTGCCGTCTCCGTCGTTCTCGCAGACCAAACTATCTTTTTATTCTTGGATCGAAATCGAATCCAACAGTGCTCTTTCTCCGTTCGTGTATGATACTTTTTCGAAGTCTCTAAGAGCTTCTTCCTCTTGTCCTTGGTAGAGAATAGAAGCCTGATGAGCTCAACAACAACAACAACGATAACCACTTACGGGTAGTGGCTTTGGTCGACGGTCGACAAGCACAACGACAAGATCCACAATGATCGCCTCGAAATGCCGATGCAATGTCTCCTCAGCGGTCCGCAATGGCGAGAATGCTGAGGTGTCCGGTAAGGGATAAGATTCAATCATTTCATCGAATTCGATGATACGATCGAATGAAAGGTAAATTCGGCTAAATCGACACGATTGACTCAGTCAGTGACGTACCAACGACCCCTCTTCAACCGTTCTCTTCTCCATGTTCCACAACGACGGCACACCATCACCTGCTCTCCAACAGTGACAGACAAGCCCGTACCGTATCTGTCTGTTGGAATGTTCAGAGAAAAGAAGAGAAGAGAGGCAGTCAGAACCCGCTCAGAGAGTTGATTTGACTTGACACCGGATCTCTTCGCCATAGTTTGGTTGAGTTTGACCGTTTCCTTTTCACTTTGTTTCTCCCTCCTCGAGAACTGCGAAAGAACCTTTTCCAGAACCTACCTCTGCTATCGATTGTATCAGAAAAATGAGGTCCCATCTATTCTCGCTACTATTAGCAGTTGCAGCAGCACTGCTGCAACTACTCCCATCGGATGCCTTTGTCATTCGACACGGTACTCGTGAGAGTGGTGCTGCTCCTACCCATGCATCTGCTGTGGCTCCATACGCCACTCCCAACCGTCGCACTCAAAAATTGTCCATGGCCAGCACCGAGGAAACGCTGCAAGAAATTGGTACCATGAGAATTGGAGCGTTGAAACAAGAGTTGGAGAGCTATGGGATCAACACCAAACAGTTTTTGGAAAAGAGCGAATTGGTGGATGCACTCACCAAGGCACGGGCGGATGGATTGAAACCCAAGGCCAAAGCTACTACTACTACCACCACGACAACTACCACCACCACCAAGACGGAATCCACATCCACCAAAAAGAAAGACGACGAGGACAAGCGACCACGGGAAGAACGTCTCCAAGAAGAACTGGCCAAATGTCGAGAAATGAAAAACTCGGAACTCAAGAAAGAATTGACGGAACGAGGGATTTCTACAGTCAGCTTTTTCGAAAAGAGCGAATTTGTACAGGCACTGGCAGATGCCCGTGTCGATGGTGTCACCAAGTCCAGTGGTGGCAGTGGTAGTAATGTCGATGAAGAAGGATATGCCGAGTATGATAATGTCGAAGTTTTGACAGCCGACGATGCCGGTCCAAGACCAAAGGGAGGACAACAGCAGCAGCAGCAACAACAACAATCACCCTTTGGTGGCGGCAGCCCGTTTGGAGGAGCAGCTGGTGGAATGGGTGGAATGGGAGGCATGGGAGGCATGGGAGGCATTGCCGATATGCTCAAAAACATGGGCGCCGGTGGCGCAGCGGCTGGTGCCAGTCCCTTTGGGGGTGGTGCCAATCCGTTTGCAGGAGCAGCGGGCGGCGCAGGTGCCAATCCGTTCGGAGGAGGTATGGGAGGTATGGGTGATGCCATGGGCAAAGCACAAGAAATGATGAAGAACCCCAAGATTATGGAGCTCATGGCCAAGGCACAATCGAATCCGAAAATGGCAAAAATCATGCAGGAATGCATGTCCAATCCCATGGCCATGTCCAAGTATCAGAATGATCCAGAAGTCGCAGAGCTCATTGCAGAGCTCAAAAAGATCATGTAGACTAACAACAGTCCACACTACGGTACTGTACGTATTACTACAAGATGTGTCAGGTTTTGTGTTTTATTCTTATCAAATATGAATGATATATTATGAAACAAATGTGTACATGTAGTCTTACTCTAGTGTACGTGTATAGATAAAAACATTCTCCATAGGCAGTCACTTCGGGAGGTTGCTTGGCACCACAGATCTTCCAAGGGTTCTGTGAAACTATCCAAGTAAGCCATTCGTGAGAGCCAACAAGGAGGCCAGCCACTGCGACAATGTACGCAGTGGTGGCATGATGTGATATGATATGTAGAAGAAGCAGGAAAGTGGATAGAGAAATTGCATGAAGATGAAATAAATGTGCAGCTGTCATCCATGAAGAGTCAAGGGACGAGGATCACACCAGGGAGTCGAGTCAGAGTCGTTACTTTGAAGGAGCTTCGAGCCCCTTCAATTTCGATTCAGTCCGAACAAGGACCAACGTCGGGATTGCTTGCCGGTGGTGGCTTTGGCATTGGTGGGAGCCTTCTTGAAAAAGTGCGAAGAACGTCGCTGTTGTTGTGGACGGTCGTGAGGAGGGCTCTCGCAAGAAGATCTTCGACGCTGCATGTAACCGTCAGGATGACGAAACATAAAATCTTCGTTCTTGGCAGAATAGTGGTAATCATGGGAGTGGTACTGCCGATGGAAGTCGTGCCAACTCTGGGAAGAAGAAGAAGCAATGTTGTTGTTGTGGCTGCTGCTATCCGACATCATCTTCAAAAGAGATCGTCGGTTGACTGGACTGTTGGGTGCCATGGTCCCTGCTCTTTGTTGACTGCTTCTTTGTGCGTTTGGTGGGTTGAACGTGCCCTTTCGATTCTCTTCGGCGGATGTGCTATTTTTTGTGTTACCTGTCTGTTGTGTTCTGGAATTTTTGGCAGGAGCGAGCGAATATGGGTAGCAGCTCTACAAGCTGCATGTACCTTCTTAGAAACCGGTCTGCATACACACGGCAGGCAACCAAGCTAGCTGCGTAAAAACTATACTAGCCAGTTAGCTAGTTAGCTAGTACAACAGGAAACAAATCTTGTTGCTGATTTCAGATCTTCAAGGGATCGCCCAATACTTCCAGTAAAAACCGGAACATGTGCATCATGTGGGTTTACCTTTTCTCGCTCCGTCATAATATTATCATGACGACCCCGCTATTTCACGAAACGAAACGGAAGTTCGCCAAGGATTTTTCTCTCCCACGCGTCTGGAAGATACTCGTCCAAACGCGTGGGAGTCAGAATCGAGTCGAGTCAGGCCTTGCCACTCGACCCGACTCTCATCAAGACGAATTCGAACACTTTCAAGGACCGTAGCGGTCGAACGGTTCATTGTTTGTTGTGGACAAGGGTATGCTTGTTCATCCTAGCTCTAGTACTAGTAGAGACGATGGATGTTGTCGCATTCTTTCGAATTGCGTGGATTGGTGCCATACCGTTGCTCCTAACTTCTCGTTCATATATTATTTCTGCTTCAGCCGTCAGGGGCTTCTCCTCTTCGTCGTTAAAGGCATCTTCATCTCCGATATTCCATGACAAGACGGTCTCTTGCGAAAGGAAAAACCAGCTCGCCCAAGACTGCGTCTGGGTCGATGGCTCGATGAGGGAATTGACTGCTGAATGATCTCAAATCTACTGACTACCAGAGCATTCGCTTGGTTTCAGGCAGCGAATTGGATTGAAGAAGTCAACATTCTGGCACAGCGTCAAACCCACAGTTAGTGGCGCCCAAAGAAGTAGCAGTCTAAAAAAGCCGCCTCCATCTGCTGCAAAACAAACTGCTCTCGACACCAAGGGTCGTCACCTTGATCCTTGAATTCGATCGCGAGCGATGCAACCACATTCCTCCAGTAGCCAGCAGACCAGGCTACGGTACTTCAAAGAGACATTCGGCACCCTCGGTACAAATTAAGATAACAGTGTTTCGCTTGTTACTCTGTACCGGTATCGACCGACTGAGTACTCTTTAGTTAGACTATTAGTGCTACTCCAATAGGCTAGTTCTTCATGGATTTGGACCAAAATTGCCAAGGAGTCGCACTGGTCGACCAAGCCAATTTCGATCATGGTTGAAGTCGACGGTCCTTCCTCTACGTGCATACTGGATTTCCAGATAGTACACTGTACTATTAATACGGTACGCCAGAGTTGTCAATATTTCTGCCAAATGGGCATACTCGATCATGCAACTGCCAACTCCGTAAGAAGGGCAAGAACGGCGAATGTCTATTCGGCAACGTCTGCAGAAACAAGGTGGTACTATATTGTATCAAATGCATAAACAGCGGCATGGAATGCATTGGTACAACCCAATGTAATGTCAAACTTCGACCCAATGAACACTTCAAAGATGCCATAGACCTCATGGAGAACGAACAAAAATTGGACTCATTCTCAAGACACTTTGCTGATGTATTCAAACTGATGAAACCGGTAAACAAAGAGGTCCTGCGGAACAGCGTCCAAGTGAGCATTCTATGGCAAGGCAACCCCATCAGCTGTGTCAAAACCTTCCGGACCCGACACTGCCAACTTTGCAACAAAGAAAGACTTGAAATACTTGGACGTTCTAGAGAATCACCAGAAACAATGATCAACACACACAATGAGATCTACTGCGCCCGCCGACACAATCCAAAGATTCACAAGTACATATAATTTAGCCCAGCACTGATGAGTCTCATAGAGGAGATGAAAGAGTCAAACCAAACCAAAAAGTAACCACAGAGGCCGAAGCCTGTGTTTTAGGGATTTGGCGGTTGGTGACCTGTTTCAGTAAAATTTACTTATAAGCCAGCGGAGCTGTGTAACCTCGGCAGAAAGGTTTCAGTGTAGAAGCAGATACCCCTATTAGCCAGCTAGCTAGAAGCAGATACCTCTAGTGCTTAGCTAGTGCTTAACTTGCGCTTAGCTAGCTAGAAGCAGATTCCCCCTAGCTAGAAGCAGATTCCCATAGCAAGCTAGAAGCAGATACCCCTAGCTAGCTAGAATACTAGTTATATAGGTTTCTCTGGTTTCAGAGTTTTTCCTGGTAGAAGCAGATCCCCCTACTAGGATGCATGTAAATAGCTTTAGCTGGTTTCTAAAAGCACCATCCTAGGATACTTATTTAGTTTTTGCTGGCTTATTTGCATTCTAACCCTACCCTTATACCTGCAGGGACCGCCGTAGCAGGAAAAACAATTAAAGGGGTTGAGGGCTCTGGCAGCAAGACTGCCGAGGTAAATCCAGTCACTCTTTGCTAAAAGCACTCCAGATACCAAAGTAATAATGTTGACTCTTTTCAAAGTTCTGTCACGTACCACTACTCGAGTACTATTTAGTAGAGTGAAGTATGATGGTCAAAGGACAGTGGAGGCAATGCAATAGATTCTCTCAAGAAAGGAATCTGTTCATTAATTAACACCGTGTTAATTCATTTTTTATTTTAAAAAAGCAATCAACCCATCCCCGATCGGATCGAATCCTCTATGCTCTCTGCGCTCTACACGTACCCCATAATCGGCGAAGTACATGTAATGCATCTCCGGAGATTTTGAGTTGCCCTCAACTACCAGCTAGCAAGCTGAGGGCCTTTCGAAGTTTTACGATAAATAGAATTCTATTTTAAGGCTACTCTGAGTACGACTATCCACCGTGCCGCTACCTTTCGAAGTTTATCTTCTGTGTGTGTGTGTGTGTAGGTGTGTGTACGTTGAGTGCTGTGTGTGTGTCGCGTACATATGGTGCAGTTTCCCTTGCAAGGTTAAGGCTACCGGAAGCGGTCAAGCCATTACATAAGTGCAGTTGCCCTTGCAAGGTTAAGGCTATTGCAACCTTGGCCTTTAGAAAAATGCAAGTTGAGGGCACTAGCCTTCGGCTGGCTGTCCTCTTTTGCTTTGCTCATCGTCACACGTGCACACGTGTTCCTACCACGTTTTCACAAGGCTTCTGCATCACGCCAGTCATCAGGCGATGAAAACACAAACCTTGGTTCCTTCTTGGATTGGTACAGTATCCCCATCTGTACTCAAGTGATAGCTCCAAAAATGGCGCCCCAAAACAAGAAATCAAGCCGCTCCAACGGCAAAATCAAGGAACCTCAAGACACTGATTGTTTGCTTGGCAGAGGCGGTGAAGCCAATCGTCATGCTGGAAACCGAATGTACCTCAAGGTTCTTGAGTCAAACAGTGCCAAATATGCCCAATGTCAGCAACGCAAAGAGAAAACCCAGCTGTCTTGGCAGATTCTATACGATCTTCGTCGCCGGGGGGTCCGGTTCCTCAAGAAGCACAAACCGTCTGGCCGATACTATGAGGCGGATGATGACGAAGTTCGAAAGAAGATCAGCCAGCGTCTCCGTGAGCTTGCGCTGTTGATCAAGATATCAACCGAGGACGCGGAGGATGTAAACGAGCAAGAGAAGACCATTGGCAACGAGACAGGCCGCAATCTCGAGGAGGACTTGGAACCGTTGGATCCTCGGGCTCACTCCAGTGATCTGGAAACGCTCTTGGCGGCTGTCGAATATCTACTCGGACCATTCACCGTGCCTCCTCTCCAAGCTGTCATCTCTCCTACGAATACCGTTTTGGAGGGACACCTGCCCCAAGAACTTTCACTTATTCCTGCTTCTCCTTCGAATCTTTTGCCGTCATCCTTTGCAACTCAATCTTTCGATGCCATGTTTGATGCCATGATTGAACAGGAAGCACATTTCTTTTGCGAAGACTCTGCGTTTGAGCCGTTGGACGCCAAGGACGTGGATTACCCCATGGAAGTGATCGACTTGTGTTTCAGTACATAACATTCCATCAACCTCGCAACGGTGAAGGCTTTCGCGACAAGAAACTGTGCGAAGAGCTGAAATCCATTCGGTGGATGGGCAGTGTCTCCATGTCCCAGTGGCCTGCATACCTACCGGCAGCAGACTGATTTCGCCCGCTCTTGCTTCGAGACAACATGCTGGGGATAGGATGCAGTCTGCGGTCGTTGTACATTACACATACTCTCTCCCTAATCTTTCTAGGCCACTTAGCTAGAACTTTCAAACCAGTAATTGAAGAACACTAATAATAATTTCTACATACTTGCAGATGTTGGCATGGATTTCAGGTGTACAGTACTACGGTAGCCATTGCCTATTGGTTTCAAGCTGGTTTGGCTGGTGTCGACTAAAGTCCCGCACCATGCTTTTAGTTACCGGTAGGGATTGAGGTGAGGTGAGGTGAGGGCGGCTATGTACCGATACGGCACCTTCTCGGCAACGAGAAAATACAAGGTCTTACATGTATCCGGATATTGAAGGCGATGTACGGGGCCCACAGTTCACGAAAGAAACTACTGATATTCGCAAATTCCCTTTCTCATCTTGGATACACTGGGCTATGATGCCACGGCTTACTGGGACACGTACGTGTATTGTCCCATTTTGTCCCTTCAATTGGTACCCGTCTAACTTTCTTTAATCACGAATCAGACTCGACTCACAAAGAGATGATGCCAACACGTCAGAATAGGCAAACTGACCCCGTGGAGCCACGCCCAAAGGCCTCATCCCACATCAACCCCAGACCACTTCGATGACCCTTGGTGCCCCGCTCACACTACTAACAGTAGTTCAACACAGTTTCGACCATGGGCAACCTCGTCTCTCAAGATTTGGAAGGTTCCTACAACAAGCTCTGCAAGGAGCTCCTAGAAAACAACCCCCGTCACCAGGATGGGTGTTTACATTGGGCAAGTCAGACATTCAAGAGCGACAAACTAACTCATTTTATCGATTGCCTGGGCAAGAATACATGCTTGAAGCGTCTGGTTCTGCGTGACTTGGATGGTCTTGAAGATGCCCCGTCACTCGCCAAGGCTATCCAACAACATCCAACTCTTGTTTGCTTGGGGTTTAACGGGCGTCTTCTGAAACAAGATTTCCAAGTCTTTGCGGATGCTTTTCTCGAGAGTCCCACCCTCACCGAGCTGGAAATTGAAAACAGTATTGTCCCGGCCAACACGATCGACGGAGTTATCACAATCCTGACAAAGTCACCAAAAGCCAAAGCTACCAGTCTAGCGCTGAAGGGATGTCAAGTGGATGCTTCGTTGTTGGATCGATTCACGGATGTGCTGGCATCCAGCGCAACTGCCACCACCCTGGAGAAGCTGGAAATTACATTGAAACCACCCGTTCAAGCTATGGAATCAGCCAAGAACCTCAATTTGTTCTTTCAGGCCAAAGACTCGGTACTCACCAAAGTCAAATTTGCGGGGTTTCTACAGAATGCGCTACCCAGTCTCTTGGAAGGCGCCAAAGGACACCCCGTTTTGAAGCATATCACTCTGGAGGGAAAGGGTGTCAACGATGAAGATTCCACCGAAGAATTGGCTCAGTTGCTATTAGAGGCCCCACCATCTCTCGAAGTCTTGGACTTGTCGAATTGCTACCTGACGTCTGATGGTGTTACTCGATTGGCCGAGGTGATGCTAAAATCCAAATCTGCCAGCTTGAAAGAACTGTATTTTTCTCACAATTCACTTGCCAATGAAGGCGTCCTGGCTCTGAGCAAGGTTCTCGAGGATCCAGCTTCGAAATACCGTGAGACTCTGCAAGTGTTGGACCTTCGCATGAACCAAATTGGTAGTGAAGGAATCGCAGCTCTGTGTAGGGCTTTAGAGACGTCCCCTCCTGCCCTTCAACGACTATTTATTGGAGAGGAAGCCCCCCGGCCCAATCCCAGCCGGCAGTTTGTAAGCAATGACATACAGGCACTGGTAGAGATGTTGCAGAAAAACTCGTTTCTCCGTGATTTGAACTTGGAAGACGCGTCATTTGATGACGAGGACTTGTTGAACAACTTTTTGGATGCACTTGGGAAGAACAAAACGTTTCTAAAGGGTCTCCGTGTTGCTGTTCGCACAACAAAGGAGCTCCAAGCCATTGCCGACAAAATCTCAGCGCTCCACCTCGAGCGACTTCATGTCAAGGTCATGGATGGAGCGGAATTTGACGAAGCTACAGCCAAAGCCTTGCTGGGCAGCCTGGAGAAGAACGACAGTTTGCACGATCTTGTCTTGAGCGACATGAAGGGTCCAAACGCCGCTGTCTGGAAATCGTTCGAACCCAAGATCAAGCATCTCCTCGCCCAACGCACTGGAAACGGGGTCAAACGCAGTCTGGTGGATAGTAGTAACGGGGAGGCCAACAATGACTCCAAGCGCTCAAAGAGCAGCGATCTCTAGCTTGCTGGTGGTTGGCCACAATACATGATGACTACATACTCTAAATAAGTTTTAATATCGACAATTAAATTGTGTAGTAATCGTGTGATGCTCGTAGAAATCATATCGGAAACATGATATTTGGTTGTCTCCACCTTTTTTCGTGAGGTCTCCACGGAGGAACAACCACAGCCACACAACAACAGCTGCCTGCTGATGCTGCAACCAACGAACGGTGCTCAACAAAAATTGGGCGCAAGCACAGCTCAAGGTGCGTGCATTTGATGGCATACATTGCATCGCTCAGGGATTGTCCCAGGCTATCCATGGAATGTCTTCCAACTTCCGATGCGTAGAGCGACTTATTGATGATGCGATTGCCCCTTTGAGGGAGTACAATACACTAAAGATGCGCAGGCCAGCAGCTCGAAGGAGATTCCGTTCGATTTACCACTGGCTAGATGGCTACCGGTACTATCTGGGTGCCCGAACAATTCATTTGTCGGAGACAAGCCAAGAACCTTATTAACATCCCAACACAAACCACACCATACGCCAACGCCTGGCAACCCATCTTACTATTTTTTGTTATCAAGCTGATTCCAGGAGCAAATAATCCAGGGGAGGACCCAAAAAGTGTACATTTACATTGAGAAGGTAGTTTTGTTGTTGTTGTTGTGGTTTCTACTACTCCATGGCATTCATAAATGTGACTTCTTGCCCAGCTACCTCGTCCTCCATCATTTCAATCATTTCCATGACTTCTTCGTCAAAATCGGCTTCCAAGTGAATGGTAAAGGATGCATAGATTTTTCCGCTATCGACCTTGCATTTTTCGTCCCACTTCAATTTGTACTCTGGTTGCGACGTGATGGTTTCGGTGATTTTCTTGTACAGTCCTTCTGGATCCACTCCAGCGCATGGCTTGACCGCAATGGCGACCAATCGTCGCGGCTCGGTTTCTTCTTCTTCTTCTTGTACTGGTTCAGGAGCTGGTGCTGGAGCCGGGGCAGGTGCTGGAGCAGGTGCCGGAGCAGGAGCGGATTGTTTCTTTTTTGGTTCTGCTGCATGACCCGGAGCCTTGGCTTCCTTGTTGCACATGGTGACTTGTCCAATGACTTGTTTGAATTCATCTTGATCTACGCATTTTGTGAACCATGCTTTGACGGCATTGAACTTTCCCAGGTACTGCTTATCGCATACCAATTTGAAGGGATAGAGAAGGGTGGAAGCGACGACGATATCAGCTAGCGTAATGTCATTTCCGACCAGGTAGGTTGTTTTGGTTTTGGCCAAATGTTTTTCCAGGATATCAATGGACGCTGCCAAGTCTGTCTTGGCCTTTTCATAGGCATCTGCCGAAAACGGCATGTAGCCAGCAACCTGTTCAAAACGCCATAGCCACCAATTATTAGTTAATCCATTAGACCAAAAAATCAACAAATATCTTCAACAAACTTGGATAGCTAGTTCGCTATCGAAAAGAATAAGGAACACTTACGGGATAGAACCAGACACAAGCCGGTAGCTCTAGATCTTGTGCGGAAAAGTCAATCCAGGCATCAATGGCGGCTTGTTCGCTGATGCTGCTACCCAACAATCCCGTATCACGGCGGATCCCCGCCACATATCGGGCAATGGCATGGCTGGAAAAGATCCGCGTCACAGTAGATCCCTTGGTAATCTCCAACAATGGCAGTTTCCCCGTGGGCGACAGAGCGGCTGCCTTGAGATCCGTACTGATATCCATTTCCACATCGTTGTACTCGGCCGCAATCAGAGCTGGAAATGCACGGAACGACGCCTCGGGGGCATGGAGCTTGTAAGAAGGAGCCATGGTGTACTAGCTTGCAAGTTGTCGAACTTTATAATAGTCTGTATGATGGTCTCTTTAGCAGCAACAACGGGAGAATGAGGCAGGCTCAGGCAGGTGTTGCCATTGGCTGTTTGGCTTCGGCTCGAAAGATCCTTGGGAGGACGGCTTCAGTCCACAGTCAATCACCACCACTCATCCTCCCCGCTCTTGACTCGACTCGACTCGTCACTCGATCGACTCATTTGGCTCAGCGAGTCCGGTCGGAGATCGATCTTGGTCGCGGTTCCTGCTCCAATGACCTGGGACCAAGAATCATTAAATCTAAATTATGACTGCTGATTCTACCGTAAAGTATTGTGACTATCGATGCGTGGCATCTGGGACTTGTTTATGACACACAGTTCCTCATGAGCTCAGCTGTTCCTCGAGTACATGTACGGTACGGTACGGTACTAGCTAGTACGGTTGTCTACTACTGTACCGGTAGCACGTATTAATAGCACAATTGATGCAGGTAGTACGGTACTAGTTCGTACTATAGAACGGTAGGTACTACCGGGGTATGGGGCAACTTCTGGATTTCGAGATAATGTGTTTCGAAATACGTATTTATGCGTAACTGCATGTAACTGCACGTAACGGATCGTAATGGCACGTAACTGCACGTAACTCGAGTACATAAAATACCATAGTAAAACGTAACTGCACGTAACGTAACTGCACATAACGTAACTGCACGTAACTGCTGTGTTATGTAGACTGTTACCGTGCCGTGTTAAGTTGGTAAATCCTATAGTTGCCCCATACCCCCGGTAGCTAGCTAGGAGCTGTACTAGGTACTAGGTACATGTACACTGTCGCTGTAAAGTGTGGTTCGTACGGTACATGTTGGTCTAGTAGTATCGAATAGTAGATACTTTACATACATATACTCTACTAGACAGCTACTCTGAGTACTAGCTAGACTTTGCTAGCTACTTTGCTCCATTGCCAAAGGGTCTTTGTTTTTCGAACGAGCCTCCTTCCAATGCGATTGCTTGTAGAAAGACCTTGGATATTTAAGTGTGATTTACCTTGGAAACCCCTTCTAAAACCGGCATCCACCGTCTTCATCTAGCTGTTAAATGTAGCACACGACAAGAGCTGTACCACAAGCACCACAAAACGTGGAAGAATTATTGTCTACGATTAGCGTCACATTTCACTGGTAAACACACACACCAGTGGCTTTCTCCTTGTCTACTGTCCACCACCATCAATCAGCTGTGATAACACTGATAGTGGTGATGTTTCGCAGTAGTACCGTATCTGCCAGGTCAAGTGCGATGTTTCGGGATTAGTTGTGAGTGAAGTGTTTCTCAACAGAAAAGAAAGAGGACACATGCATCCGCCTCCTACTACCTCGCCGAAGCATCCTCAAAAGAAGCACCACATTGCTTCTCACAATTCTCAAGAGCAGCCAGCCTACAATCACTGCAACTACTAGCTACAGTACGGTACTTACCACCACCAGTCTACAATGTTTCAAGAATCTGCCAACCTGAGCTGGAATGACTTCCACCACCACACCCGAGGAAGTTATGTGGCGGGCAACTTTGACGATGACGAGTCCATTTCATCCTCCAGTATGCACGCGTCGTCCTCGTCCTCCATGTCGTCCAATCGGGGGAGATCCGCGCTTCGCAAAATTGAATCCGACGGTAGTATGCGAGATGGTGGCATGCGTTCCTTGTCATCCTCCAGCAGCAGACGGTCCTTGTCGTCGTCCACCAGAGGAGACAGAACCCGAAGGCACAAATCCTTGAAGGAATCCCTGCTAGTGCCAGGAGGCAGCAGCAGCAGCAGCGGCGGCGGCATTATGGGCGGTGTCAAGCAATATCTAGACATGCAGAGACAACCATCCACCAAGAAAAAGAGTGCTGGACCAACCATGGGCCGAATCAACAAGTCAGGAAAGTTTGTTCCTTCCAAGAGACTCAAGTAAAATGGCGGATTGTAGCTACAGTGGCTGGGGAGTGGCTGCTTTGGAAGCAAGCACTCGGCCAGTCACTGCAAACTACTACGGCATTATTCACTGCAGGCAGGTCTCTTTTTACCACAGAACGGAAGCCTTACAAACTATCAACAACTGACAACCAATCTTGTCAAGCACAAGAAGAAGAAAACGAATTCAATAGTATGCATAAGAATAAATGAAATAGATCATACATATACGCTACATCAATCTCATGCTGCCGATTCAATCAATTCATGTGCTTCGCCGCGAGAACTGGGAAAGCTTTCGACGTCGCCTGTCGAACGACCAATGATCATCAACCCCTCGAGCGTTTGCCGAGTTAGAAGTAGGCTAAGCTGTTTATTGAGATACGGTACGTGGCAACGGTAGGCTAAGGCATTCCTCAGAATGACGCTGACAACTAAAGGACCCTGCGAGACAACCTGACAAAGGGCCAGTGCAGTCTCCCGATACGGTAGGCAGAGCGGACCGGAAAATTCCAAGATTTCGCCTGCACGGAGTTTGCTTGGAATTGGAGGCAATGCCAGCCAGCCTGTCAGTACCGTAGGGTAGCTTGCTTTCATCCGACAACTCCAGTAACCCTCGTAGCAACCAAGCACTCTTCAGAGCACACTTCCCAGGACACAGGAAACCATTGCCAATAATCTAGAATTGTTGCATCTTACTGAGCTAAGAACCCCCTCCTCCCTCCTCTTCTCTTTCTTTTAACTATCCCGCCCCTGCGGGGCAGGTTTTCTTTTGGCTTTACTCAACGAAAAATTTCGTAACAGGCCATTTTTTCCATAACTGTGCTAAGTTTCCCCTTACCGTGCAACATGTGTCTATGTACTACTTGAGCACTGGATTGTTCATCGCAGGAAAGCCAGCACTTATCTAAACGAGGCTCACTGGAGGAGAGATGAAGGAGATAGATCTTAAAGACTGCAAACTGCAAGGACTAATGGGCTGATTTGACCATCATTGACCAGCCAACATTACAGTGTGTATTCCATCGTAACAACATTAATTGCGTTGGCTTTATCCTTCTACCCGATCGGCATAATTTGCCTGTACTACGGAATTTCAAAACAAGGTGTCAGCCGAACTGCTATCATTGGTCAGCACATGTCGCTCGGAAAGCCCAGTTGTAGATTGTGAAGCTTCATCTCTTCCAGCACTACCAGGCGACATGCCCAGCAAGATCACATCCTAGTAATCTTGAGCTGCAACGTTGCCTAGCCAAATGGCCCCGGAGCCACTGAATGGATACACTGGAAGCAGTCCTCTGGTACCAAGTACCGGTAGCTACCCTCTACTACTAGCTGGCTAGCTAGTACAGCGTAGAGCTAGCTAGCTAGCTGGCCAACCATTAGCTTGTACTCCAGTACACGCCCATAAATAATGGACTTCCTCTCTCAGTTCTCCAAGTACATGAAGAGGTCACTGTAGTTCAATAGGTTTAGTCGCCTTTGCTTGTCGGTTGTATTTCGGAAATTATAATTTGCGAAGATACTGTTTTGATTCTCCTAGCTAGCTCTAGCTAGAGACTACGATGTATTAGTACATCAGCTTTACATCAAACATTTCGGTAAGGCAAAAGGAACCACCTGTTTCGGAGTAACCCAAAATTACAATATTTTCAGGGGGAACTTCGTAGATTCCCTCCATTTCTTTCGAAGCCTAACGGTTCAAGTTCAGAATTCGGCGTTCTTTGAACAGCCCTCGGTGAAGTCCACCCTCCCTTGGCGACTGACAAAAGAACCCACCAAGAATTGCTGTTTCAACTCTCACAATCTCACAAACTCGAAAACACCCCAAAAGAAAAGCACCACCTTCGCAAAAAGATTCACACAATGATCTCTGCTATTTTGGAACAAGCCTCTCTATGGAACAACCAGGGAGCCCTTCAGGTATCCCATGGAAACCTTGAGGATGCCTACGGCTCCTTTGCCATGGCTTTGAAGCTCCTTGGCAGTGCCAACGCTACGACTTCCTCGCAAACCACAGACTTTGAGACTTCCACTGCTCTGAGCGGCACATCCTTTTTGCTGGAGCCAGTCCACGTTCCAGATTCTGCTGCGATCATCAATAAGACTGAAGAGGCCAATGCCTACATCTATACCAAGACACTCGCTCTCTCGAGTCCGAACCGCCAATGGGCAGCCCGGGATATCATGTTCTTCTGCGCCCTGGTCAAGTTCAATTCTGCTCTTGCTTGCCACTTGCAAGCCAACAAAGGAAGCGAAGGAAGAATTCGAGAAGCTTTTCGATTCTATCAACATAGCTTGCAGTACCTCAAGGCGTACCCAGATCAGACTGATTCCAGAAGACAAGAATTCGCAACCGTTTTGGCCATGGCTTGCATGAACAACATGGCTCAAATCCTCCATGAGTTCAATCAAATTGAAAAGGCCAAGGTCTTCATGAACTCTGTCCGAACACTGCTGTCTTCGTTGCAAGAGTCCGATATCGCGGTGACGTTTGATAGGGCCTCTATTGAAACCTTTGTCTGGAATGAATTCATGTTTGCTTTTACCGCGGATCTTGTTCGCGGTGCACCTGCTGCGTAATCCTCCAGGAACGGAACAGCAACTCGTGCGTGTAACACCACATGATACTTGCTAGGTCTCTTTGTCACGGAGACATCGATCGGATAATGTACTACTAGAACTGAATTGCATGCCAAGTCCTTAGGGTTTACTGCTCTGGGGAAGCTGGAGGTGCCGATGTGATGTAGTTCCGCATCTGCCGTTCCCAGAGTGAAACAAGCAATGCGTCGTGGGCTACACCTACCACTTCCCTTCGCGTTGGGATTTCTCACAACCATGGGAGGGCGAGATGGCCTCTACCGTATACGGTACCATCTCGGCAACGAAAGAACCAACATGCCGCGTCTTGTTTTTCTCCACAGGTGCTGTGAGGGTTTGGGTAACACGAGTTGCCGAAGGAGTGCTTCCTCTGCCACACAGCACTTTGGAATCGCTGGTAAAGAATACGTGGTACAAGTTCCATCCAACATGGCTACGGTAGCTACAACTCTTCTGACTACAAAAAGATTGTTGGGAAACCGTTTCCTATAATTTTCTATGTACGATTAGAGCGTGATTACAACTGTGAACGAATAAAATCTCTTGCAAGCTTTCCAAGTGTGGCTGCTACATCTCCAGCGATCTGTGTCGTCACCACTGCGCGACTGATGGATCGCCCATTTCTTCGCCTTCGTTGACGAAGAAAGTCCAGCCCTCACCCTTTCCTTTGATATTCATGAGTCCACGGGGTCGGACGGGAAGGTTCGGAGCTTGCTGTTCGAGAAGGATGGCGGCAATTTCGGAACATTGAATTCGATTCTCTACCGAGAGCTGCACATTCTTGAAGCCATGGTGACAGCATCGCCAAAGAGACAGTAGCGAGGGTGCTTCGTGCCCATGACATTTGCAACCACAGGACCAGACGAGATGCCGATCAGGACACCAACAGTACCTCTGCCAGGGTCGTCTTCGTCAAGGAGAGTTTCTTGTGCAGCCCTTGCGGCAGCGATCGAGAAGTTCGCCATCCGTTTCGCGTGATCTGGTTGATCTTTGACAAGACCAGTGACGGCCAAGTAGGCATCGTTGACAGTCTCCAATTTGAACACATCGTGAGAGGTACAAAGTTCGTCGAATTTGCCATAAAGCTCTGGAGCATGTCCGGCACTTTCACCGGTCCAAGCGACTCGGAAATGTCCTCGAAGTTGAAAATCTCGCAAGAGAAAACAGTGCAGTTCTCTTTGGATTCGGGTTCCACCTTTCGTCCTTCCTTGAGAGCATCGGCGACGTGGCTTGGGAATAAATCGTACAAATCAAGCGACTGCTCCTGCTTTTTTCGTCCTCCTTCCGAAGTGGTGCCATGGTCGCGATATCCAAACGTTTCAACTGCAGTCCAACTCTTCAAACGTTGGTCGCCTTCTCGGGTCGCCGACAAGGCACTCCATCATCAAAGTTTGCGCCTTTGGTGGGCATGTCGGAGGAAGAGGTGGCCGTTTGTTGACCGCTTTGTTTGCAACAGCACAAAGGACCTCGAGAGGGTTTTCACCGTCGTAGGGATCCTTCCTACTGTACATTTCAAAAATCACCATTCCAAAGGCATACGCATCAGACTCGGCTGTGTTCCCCGTCTCTCCTCGCAAGATTTCAGGCGCGAGGAAGTACGGGGTTCCAGCTGCCCCCGTTTTATCTGTGTCGATTGTCGAGAGCCCAAAATCCGCAACCTTTAGTAAACAAAAAAGCGTTGCAAAAACAGGGGTTAGGCCTCTGCATGCCCAGAAAGCAATCAATGTGACAAACTGAAGCACAAACCTTGGCTCGAAACCTTCCATCCACAAGGATATTTGAAGCTGGGGCAAAGTGATAATGGGAGTTAGCAGCATAAAACAACAAAGCATTGAAACAGCTAGAAACCCGCTTACCTTTTAGATCACAATGAACAATCTGGGGAGTTGCTGCATGAAGAAAGCGAATTCCACTGGCAATATCTCTCAAGATGGGTAACAGTCTCTTCTTTTT